CACGGGCACATGCATTTTGCTGTAACTACCAGGGGTTAAAATAAAGTATACAGGAGAACTGAAACTTATTATCCAATAAAACACTTAACAAAGCCTAATGAAAAAAATGACTTTTAAATGTCATTGTCAAAAACACAGGTTGGCACAGTATGTCCTGTAATCCAGATCCAGCTCATGGCTTGTGAAATAGGAACGGCTTAATGAATTAACATTTACAATCACTTTGAGGACACAGAACATTAACTTTGAACTACAATTAAGTGAAATGTCTCCCCCACAAAAAGAATTCAATGTTTCTCATTATTAGACTTCTATTATGACAAATGACAAATTTACTCAATTATTAGTATTACATTTTGAACTATGTCAATAAAAATTTTGTGGAAAAAAATTTTCTCTCTTAAAGTAATTTTACACAAAGCCTCAGTTTTATCTCCTAGCCTTGAAAGCCTGAATATTTATATCTGGTCTTTATCAGAACCAAAATTGCTAATACTTGGCCTAAAACTATCTAATCTAAAAAATGGTCTTAGCTCCACCTATTTCTAGCTTTTATAATATATGTATATATGCATACATTTGGACTGCATGACATAACTACTTACAAAAAAGATTTACAACTATCTTCTAATGCTTCCTCAATCATTACCACGAGAGTAATAAAATGAAAAGGAGGTACCGGTTTTGCCCAATAATTTAGTTTAAAAATTATAATGCCCAATGCTAGTGGAAGTAGACAAGAGAACTCATTTATAAATTAATTGTAGCAGTGTTTTTTTAAATTTTTATTTAGTTATTTTTCAAGTACAGTTTTCTGTTTATTTCTCCCATCCCAGCCCACCCTGCCCCATGCACCCCACCTCCCTCCCATTTCCACCCCCCTTAGTTGTTGTCCATGTGTCCTTTATACTTGTTTCTCTAAATCCCTCCCATTTTTCCCCTTAAATTCCCTCCCCCTCCCCTCTGGTCGCTGTCCCCTTGTTCTCTGTTTCAGTGTCTTTGTTTTTATTTTGCTTGCTTGTCTGTTTTGTTGTTTGGCTTCCTGTTAAAGGTGAGATCATATGGTATTTGTCTTTCACCACCTGGCTTATTTCACTCAGCATAATGCCTTCCAGTTCTATCCATGCTGTTGCAAAGGGTAGTAGCTCCTTCTTTCTCTCTGCTGCATAGAATTCCATTGTGTATATGTACCACAATTTTTTGATCCACTCATTTACTGACGGGCACCTAGGTTGCTTCCAGCTCTTGGCTATTGTGAACTGTGCTGCTATCAACATTGTGGTGCATAGGTTCTTTGAAATTGATGTTTTGGGGTTCTTAGGATATAATCCTGGCAGTGGAATTGCTGGATCAAAAGGCAGGTTAATTTTTATTTTTCTGAGAAAATTCCATACTGTTTTCCATAATGGTTGTACCAGTCTGCAATCCCACCAACAGTGAACTAAGGTCCCCTTTTCCCCACAACCTGTCCAACATTTGTTGTTGGCTGTTTTGTTTATGATAGCCATTCTGACTGCTATAAAGTGGTATCTCATTATGGTTTTGATTTGCATCTCTCTGATAGCTAGTGATATTGAGCATCTCTTCATGTGTCTCTGGATCTTCTGTATGCCCTCCTGTAGCAGTGTTTTATGGCATAATCTACCTGGAAAGCAATTTGGTTACAGATAGCAAAATCCATTAAAATACGTATACACTGTGATACAGTAAATCCACTTTTGTAAATTCAAAAATATGAAACATACACACAAAGATGTTCAATAAACTGTTAGTTACAATAGTGACCTGCCCCTGCCACTTTTTTTTCTGTTATTAGCCCTCCATTCACCAAGCTGTCGGAACAAGAAATCTTGGAACTATCCTTCCCCTCACAACAGCACAGCCAATAATTCCTCCCCCTTAGTCTTCCACATTTTTTTTCAGCTCTACAGTTACTATCTTGGTTTAAGAACTTGTCATTTCTCTTCTGGATTGTCACAATATCATCTTGGGGATGGATCTGCAAAGTGAGGCCTAAGCTAATGCAACTTAGGGGTCCTTTCAAAGAAAAAGAATATAAAACCGCAAATCCAAAATTTGTCACCATTGCCAACATTGAGAGAAACATAACAGAGAGATAGTAGTATAGAAAGAAAAGGTACTCACAGCTGATTGCAGTTAATGACTTACACTTTTTTCAAATTTTATAAAAGCAAATGACCATGAGAACACATTTTAGAGTCCCTATCAAATACTGTTAGAGGCTGATGCAAGCCAAGCATCATTTATTTAACCTTTATTATAGCTTCTTGGTACATATATATTAGAGATAGATAACCAGATATCTATCTATCTATCTATCTATCTATCTATCAATCATCTATCTGTCTCCTTACCAAAAGAAACCTTAGTTCCTAAAGTCTCTAATTTCTAAGCCATCCAGCCAATCATATTGCTTAAGATTAATTTTTCCAAAATAAAATTCTAAACATATTCCTTCCCTACTTGAAAACTTTCTTGCCAGTAGGATAATTGGCACTAATCCTTCCATGATATCACCTCCACCTACTACTCCAACCTCATTTTCTGTCCTCACAGACATGTTACATTATTTACAGTTCCCATATGATGCTATTTCAATCCTCCCATACCTTAGCAGATGTTCTCTCCTCAAACTAAAATGTATTTTCTTCTCTTTTCTGCCTAACAGATTTCTTCACGTATTTCTATCTCAACTTACCTAATAAAGCTTTCCCAGACCTAATGAGAGTTGACAGCAAGCTCTTTGGCTCACAGGCCTCTGGTACTGCACTCATCACCTATTACAGGAACTCATTCACTGTCTATCTCCCCGATCGTTTAAAAGTTCCTTCAGGGCAGAAACCTTGTCCTAGCCCTCCTTATTTCCCAAGTGTCTGCAATAAGTAAGTGCTCAGAAATCCTCAACTGAACAAATGAATAAAAAAGGAGGAGAGAAAAACATACCAAAAGGTTAGTTTTACTGCTTTTACTTGTTGGTTTTGTTAGCAACTTTTTACTCTTGTTTAAAAACATTTTTTGTTATGTGGCTATATTTGTTTATAATGGGAAATCTAATTTACAATAAAATATTTCTTTGAGGCTTACTCTGATTTTCATTAGATCTGGTATCTAATTCTCAAAACTCTGCACACCTGTGCTAGGCTTATTTACATTGCCAACAGTCTACAGTACTTGGTATTATGTTTAGATCCCTGTACACAATTAGGTAAATAAATATCATTAGTGCAGCTTCATTAAAGTGTATTTTTCTTAAATATTTCTCAGTATACATATTTCTTGGTAAGTGTGCATCTATTAGAATTTTGGCAAAAAAACAATCTTGTAATGGACTTATTTCTGTAGGTATATATTTCAGGCACTAACTGAAAAAATAATAATTTTTTTGCCATCTGGAATAAAACAGATGAATACCATAAGACTCAAATTATGTTCATGTACACAAATCCACTTTTCTGAATCACTTGTAATTTTGATCTCCCACTAGGATGCAATAAAAATTGTTTTAAAAGGGAAAATATCCAAAATAATCTGATAATTCTCCTAAACACAATCCTCATGGAAGTTGAATATATATTATTCTTTTTTTTTAGTAGAGCTATCATTATCATTATCCAGTAAATGCTTGCAGAAACTTTATAGCAGAGAATTTCCCCTTTTTCTTTTGCATGATTTAAAAATGTTGTTTTACAACACACTGTTTAAATACGCCATACGTGAAGCAGACCACATACATATGGCATATGCAGATATGACTACAAGTCAAGAGCATCAAAAATGCAAACCACAGGACATAGAAATAACACCACCAAACTCAAGTTGACACCATTTTAGTAGTTTCTGACCTGTGTGTTTCCTGGTATAATCTATACCACTAGTTCTAGCGGAGGGGTTAATGGTGCACAATGGTATTAGATTGGAGCTGTCCCCAAACAAGTTCCTATTTCTCCTTTGTGTCAGGAGAGTTAGTCTGAGCTGATGCAATGGCACAATCTATAACTGAGTCAGAGTTCCTTTCCTAAGCTGACCCATGCCTCACCCAGCCTGGCTTGTTGTTTAAAGGAAACACAGCATTCCTTTCATTGCATTCAAAAGTTGCCTGAGATGAAGTGAGTGGTGCAGAAAGAACACAAGCCCCTAAGAGTCACCCAGTTATGCTCCAGAATCCCAGCAATGGTATTTCAAGGTCTATGTGACAATGAAGCCAGTGAGCTTCTTTCAACCCTGGTGTTATCATTTGAAAGGTATCCTCCCAAAATTCATATTTTTGAAGTGTCAATATCTCAGAATGAATATTTTAAAATAGGGTCATTGCATATACAATTAGCTAAGAAGAGACCATCGATGCGAGACCTAATCCAATATGGCATCCTTCTTAAAAAAAAAAAGAAAAAAGAAATTTGGAGATGGAGACAGACACTCACAGAAGAAGATGATGTAAAGACTCAGAGAAAATGTCATCGACAAGCCAAAAAGAAGGGCTGGGACAAGTTCTCACAGCCCTCAGAAGGAACCAGCCCTTTGACCCCCCGATTTCAGATGTCTGTTCTCCAGGACTGCAAGACAATAAATGTCTGTTGTTTAAGACACCCTGTTTATGGCAGTTCTAGCAAAGACGTCTGGTTTCCTCATATGTCAAATTCTCAACATAAAAGATTCAGGACTATTATAAAAATTAAAAATCACATGGTAGGTACTCAAAAGAGGACAGGCAATATTTTTTAGCCATAAAGAAATATGACATTTGCAGTATTTTATTTCATTTCCTTGAATTGTGCTTCTTTCTTTTAGCCAAGAAACAGGTATAGCATCCCTCAAAAGCTTGGTACCCCATACATACAATTAGAAGTTAGCAATCTCACAATGTCGCCACATGGTTAAAGGGAGAATCTAAATATGGAGAATGTAAATATAATTTATATTTATCTACAGAAGAATAAAGTTACATTTCTTGCACACTCAATGTTTAAACAAAGACATACCTGCCACATGTGGGGAGGCTTGTCCAGGACTTCTAAGGATCCTCTTGAAATATGTCTTTAGTCTGTAGACTGATTAAAAAACCTGTAAGAGAATGGAGAGATAAGTCATTTAGAGGCAGATTCCTGGCATGTGGAGTCCAGGCTAACTCTTTTTAAAATTTAGTTACTTGGGGAAATACCCGTAGATGGTGATAAGCTGAACACAGTAGAATATGGCACATCTGCAGTACTACAAAATCCTTAAATTCTACCTCGACAGGTAAAAAGCCAAGAGTAGAAAAAAAGAAAACAGAATGAATTTTTCTTAAGGTCTCTTTTTTATTTAATTGTTTTTTTTTCTTTTTAATGCATATATTGAGGCAACATTGGTTAACAAAATGACATGGTTTAAGGTGTACAATTTTATAATACACTATCTGTATATGGTATTGTGTGTTCATCACCCAAAGTCCAGTCTCCTTCCATCACCATTTATCCCCCTTTTACCCTCTTTTACCTCCCCCAACCCTCCTTTCCTCTGGTAATCACCATACTATTGTGTCTATGACAGAGTTTTGTTTTGTTTTGTTTTGTTTTGTTTTGTTTTGTTTTGTTTTGTTTTGTTTCTGCTTAATCCCGTTCCCTTTTCCACCCAGGCCCCCAACCCCTATCCCCTCTGACAGCTGATAGTCTGTTCTCAGTGTCTATGAGTCTGTCTCTATTTGCTTGTTAGTTTATTTTGTTCATTAGATTCCACATATAAGTGAAATCATGTGGCACTTGTGTTTCTCTGACTGGCTTATTTCACTTACAATAATACTCCCTAGGTCTATCCAGGCTGTTGTCAAGAATAAGATGTCCTTCTTTTTTACAGTGAGTAATTTTCCACTGTGTAAATGTACCACGGCTTTCATATTCACTCATCTACTGATGGGTACTTCAGCTGCTCACAAATCTTGGCTATTGCAAATAATGCTGCAATGAACATAGGGATGCATGTATTCTTCTGAATTAGTGTTTTGGAATTTTTCAGATATATTCCCAGAGGTGGAATCACTGGGTCATAAGGCAGTTCCATCTTTTCATGCTTTGAGGTAACACCATGTTGCTTTTGAAATCAAATGCTCCAAATCACAGAACACATAGAAAGGAAGAGGCACAATAGGAAATTCAAGGTTCCTAGAAATTTGGAATTATAAAAAGCATTAAATCCATTTCTAGTGAAAGAAGAAAAATAAATCCAGGTGAGGGCATAGACTGTCAAGGGGTGCTACTCTCGAAAGCGCATTCGAGGTGACATTTAAGCAGGATCGGGGCAATTAGGCAGAGTCAGAGGGAGGAGCTTTCCTGGCAGAGGGGATGGCAAGGACAGCAGTGCCCCCTTATCCGAGGTTTCATTACCCATGGTCTCAGTTACCTGCAGTCCAAAAATATTTAATAAAAATTTTCAGAAATAATTCATCAGTTTTAAATTGCATGCTGTCCTGAGTACCTCACTTTATTTCATCATGCAGGCACTGTATCATCTCACATCATCATCAGAAGGACAAGTAAAGTACAATAAGATGTTTTGAGAGAGAGCTAGAATAGTCACATAACTTTTGGTAGAGTATACTGTTAGAACTGTTCTATTTTTGTCATTCATTTTTGTTGTTACTCTCCTACTGTGCTTAATTAATAAATAAAACTTTATACATGGAAAAACATAGCATGTATAGGGTTTGGTTGCAGGCTTCCACATGGGGGGTTGGAATGCACCCCTGTGGATAAGGGAGAACTGCTGTGTCAAGGCTCTGCAGTGAGAGCTTGCCAAGAATGTCCATGAACAGTAAGAGACCCCCGTGGCTGCAGACAGCACGATGCATGTGAGGGAAGAGTAGGGAATGAACATGGTTGGAAAGGGCCACAGGAAGGCTTTGGACTTTAATCTAAAGCCTAATAGAGGGTTCTATTCCAACTAAGCATTTTTGTTTGAGAGCACTGTAGATTCATATGCAGTTATGAGATATTAATACAGAGAGAGCCTGTGTATCTTTATCCACTTTCCCCAAGATGTAATATCTTGCAAAGCTATAGTACCAGATCAAAACCAAGACAATGACATGGATAGAGTCAAGACACAGAACATTTCCATCACCATAATTATCCTTCATGTTGCCTTTTTATAGCCATGCCCAATTCTCTCTTACCCACCTCTTCTTTACTGGAGGACTGGGTGAAAAAGGTGAAGGGACAAAGAAGTACAAACTGGTAGTTATAAAACAGTCAAGGGGATATAAAGTACAGTGTAGTGAGTATAGTCCAATAATACTGTGCTAACTATGTACGGTGCCAAGCGTGTACTTGGAAATATTCACTGGACGTTTTGTAAAGTATATAATTGTTTAACTACCATGCTGTATACCCAAAACTAACACAAAATAATATTCAATGTAAACTGAAATTGAACAATAAAATTTAAGAAAACCTGGAAGCCATTAATCTATTAACAATTTCTATAACTGTCATTTCAAGATTATATAAATGAAATAATACATTCAACCTAAGGATCTTGATATTCCTCCAGGTTGGTGAGTGTATTGATAGTTCACTCATTTTTACTGCTGAGTCATGTTTTACGGTATGAATTGTTTAACCAGCCACTCACTGATGGACACTTCGAGATTTCCATTTTGGGGTTATGATGAACAAAACTGTTACAGACATTCATATACAGTTTTTTGTATAAAAGTATAAGTTTTCCTTTCTCTGGGATAAATGCCAAGGAGTACAATTTCTGGGTTGCGTGGTAGTAGTATGTTACATTTTCTTTAAAAACCTGCCTAACTGTCTTGCAGCATGGCTGTACCATTTTACATCCCCTCTCCCCAGCAAGGCTTAAGTGAGCCAGTTTCTGCACATCCTTGCCGCAGGTTGGTGGTACCACTATGTCTCATTTTAGCCATTCTGCTGTTCTATAATAATGAATAGATGCCAAATTTCTTCTCATGTACTTATTTCATATCTCTGGTATCCTTTCTGAGGATATATTACTTCATGCTTTTTGTCTATTTTCTATTAGATTTATTGTTTTACTATAGAGTTTTTTAAAGTTTATATTCTTTTTTTCTCGGTTCAGTTTTCTCACTTTTTATTGTTTAAATTATTTTATTGTTGTTCAAGTACAGTTGTCTGCATTTACTCCCCACCACTCCTCCCCACTCCAGCCTCCTCACCTCCCTCCCCTAATCCCACCCCCACTTGGTTTTGTCCATGCGCCCTTTATAGTTGTTCCTGAAATCTTTTCCCCCCCCTCTCTCCCTGTTGTCCCCTTCCACCTCCCCTTCGGTTACTGTCAGATTGTTCATTTCAGTCTCTCTGGTTATAGTTTGTTTGTTTGTTTGTTTGTTTGTTTGTTTGTTTTGTTGATTAGGTTCCATTTAAAGACAGTTTATATTCTTAATACTAGTCTTCTGTCAAATACATGGTTTGCACATATTTACTTCCAGTCTGTAACTTGTCTTCTCAACCTCCTAAAAAGTGTTTAATTTTTACAACGTTTTTTAATTTGATAAAGTTTTCAATTTTGGTAAATTAATCATTAAAAAATAATTAATTTTTTAATCATTGAAAAAGATTAAAAAATCTTTTTAATCATTTTTCCTTTCATGGGTAATGTTTTTGGTACAATGACAAAAATGTTTTGCTTACCCCAAGATCTTAAAGATTTCTATTTTATTCATAAAAGTTTTAGAGCTTTAAGTTTTACAGTTAGGTTCAGGACATATTTTGAGTTCATTGTTGTATAAGAAGTAAAATTGTAGTCAAGCCTGGTTTTTGCTGATGGGTGTCTAATTGCTCCAATATCATGTGTTGAAAAGGCCACATTTCGTCCTTTGAATTAGTTTTGCATCTTTGACAAAAATCAGTCAGGTACATAGTCAGCTTGGGGTTCTTTGTTCTATCCCATTGACATACGTGTCTATGCCTCTGCCTGCGTCACACAGTCTTGATGAATGTAGCTGTACAATAAATCTTGAAGCTGGGTAGATTAATTTCTCCCACTTTATCTTTCTGCCTTCCCATATACATTTAGAATAATCTTGCCTATATCTACAAAAAAAAACATCTCACTGGAATCTTGATAGCAATTGTACTAAACCTGTATATCAGTTTGGGGAGAAGTACAATCTTTGCTATGCTAAACCTTCCAATCCATGAAAATGACATATTTATTTATTTAGGTCTCCATCAGTATTATGTGGCTTTCATCATACTAGTCATATATATATATATATATTATTAAATTTATACTTAAGTCTTTGATTTTTTAAGTGACTATAAATGGTACTATATTTTCAATTTTGGTGTCCAGCTATTTATTGCTAATATACATGAATATAATTAATTTTTGCATATTTACCTTATATCCTACTACTTGCTGAATTCACTAATAAGTGAAAAACTAATAAGTTTGGCAATTTTTTTAAGTTCCTTGGGATTTTCTATATAAGTAATCATGTAACCTGCAAAGAGGAAAAGTTTCATTGCTTCCTTTCTTATCTCTCTGTTTTTAACCAATTTTTCTTATCTTTGCACTGGCTAGACTACACTGAGTAACAGTGCTGAGGGCAGACATTCTTGACCTTGTTTCTGATCTGAGAGGAAAGAATTCAGTCTTACATCATTAAAATTAATGTTAGTTGTAGTTTTTATGTGTTTTTTATAGATGATCTATGTCAAGTTGAGGAAGTTCTCTGTTCCTATTTTTCTGAGGGTTTTTGTCATAAATGGGTGTTAAACTTTGTCATTTTTTCCGCATGAATGAGTAGGATCATGTGCTGTTTCTCTTTTAGCCTGTTAACTTGGGGATTCACAGTGATAGGATTTTTATGAGTTGAACCCTGGAATGACCCCCAACTGGTTCTGGTGTATAATTTTTTATATGTTATGAATTCTATTTGCTAATATCTTGCTAAGGACTTTTGTGTCTGTATTTATGAAGGATATTAGTCTTCAGTTTTGTTGGGGTTTTTTTTTTGTTCTGTCTTTGGTTGTGATATCTAGGTAATACTACTTTCATAAAATAGATGATTTTCTAGATTATGTTGTATAGAAGTGGCA